TTTTTCAAGGGAGGAAATTTGAAATTGGCCTTTTAAATTCTGCTGTGTGTGGCTGGGCTGGGAAATCTGAGGCGGTGTCACTCCTTGGGTGTATGTCAGACAAATCTGTGCCCACCTCTCCCTCCCTTGTGGCTTCAGAAGTTGTGTCCCCTCTCCACAGGAGATGGAACCATGTGCCACCTCACCAGCATGAGATAAATGGCCAGTCCTGAAGAGCTGAAATAAAAACCCTCTGGGGGGTGTGCACTGCTTTCTGGGGTCAGATCAGTCCCTCCAGGGCCCTGCCCTGCCAGCTCCCCAGTGCATTTCAGGTGAATCCAAGGATCTTGGCTTGTGATGCTGTTTAATTGCTCACTGTACAAATGCTGTATCAGCAGCATTGTAAGACATGAGCCACATCAATCTAATCACAAGCCCAAACAAAGCAGCAGTCACTCAAGTCCTTTATCTATTGGCAGGCAACAGCAAGCCCTCATCTTTTGTCCACTCTGCATACACACAATTTTTCTGCAGCCTTCATCAGCACCAGGAATTCATCAGCTGAGACCAACATTTATCTCAGTAAATCCAGCATGTGTGTCTGCCCCTGCCCTGACTATTCAAACACGCAGCCACATCAGAGCTGCTCGTTTGGAGGGGGATGACAAGGGTCATCATTTTATTCTTTATCTCTTGCTCTTGGAAGCCAAAGCAAGGCAGGAAACAGCATCCTGGGGAGCTCGAGGGTGTGGATGACAACTTGCCATGCCTGGCTGTTCATCAGGGTGTCACAGGAGGATGAGGAGCAGCGGGAGGCAGAGCTGAGCATCAGTGCCCACAGCCCCGGTGCCAGCCCTGTCAGCCCCTCCAGCCACATGGGGAGAAGCCAAAGGGCAGAATTGCCATGTCAGGTAGGAAAGCTTCAGCCTGGTCAAAAATCAGCTTATTTTCTGAAGATGAGACAGGTTTGAATTGAGTTTGAATGTTTCCTGCTTCCCTCAGGGCTGTGTTTTTGGGAAGAAGGTTTCGTTCGGCTACTTTCCACTCACGCGGCATTTACGTGCCAAAAAGGATTCAGCTGTCAGAGCCTGACAAGCGCTGAACAGCTCTTGTTAAGGTCACTGGTATCAGAGAAATGTCTCTCCTACAACATCCCAGCGAGTCAGGGCCACTGGCACTGGGAGACAGGGACTGATGTCAAGGCGCTGTGCTGCAGACAGGACCGTGCCCTGCTGTCCTGGCACGGTGTCTCCTCCCGAGGAGAGCTGTGGAACTCTGCTCCAGCTAAGTGCAAAAAAACCCCCAGCTCTAAACATCCCTGACCTTTAAATTCGGGCTGCAGCGAACAGATCTGCTGCTAACCAAAAATCCAGGCTTGCTTTCATGTGCCTGGGCGTTCAGGGAATAGATGTAGCTTAACATGCAAATGCTGGGCTTCCTGCAGCACGCCGCTGCTTTTCAAGCTCTCTCATTTCATGCTGTTACCTCCATCCCTGCTGTGTCTGTGAAAAGAGCCTCTCTGAGGAAAAGTTTCCCACAGACACAAAACCCAACTGATGCTGTAAAAAAAACCCCAACAACCGGTGACTTACAATTTAATTTCTAAATGCAGTGTCCATCTGCAGCCTGGCAATCAGCAGCATCTGTGCTGCTGGCGTGTGGAGAAACCAGCCCCTCGCTCCCTCAGGTTTCTGGCTGTGTGTTTTATATATTTGTCCTCATGTTTAAGTGAAGAAGTCCTGAATTTGTGAGCCAGGAGTCCTGTCTTGCCATAGGTGTGCAGGGGAAGGTTTTCCCTCTGGAGCAGAGATGCTCCAGTGCCCTTTGATCATCTGAACATCTCTGCGTCCGAGTTCCCTTGCTCACAAAATTCAGTGTTCTACACAGAGAGGGAAATAGATATCTCTTGTCCCAGGTAACGAGCCATAAGAGAGGGAAAATGGCCTCAAGTTGTGCCAGGGGAGGTTTAGATTGGATATTACGAAGAATTTCTTCCCTGAAAGGGTTGTTAAGCCCTGGAAAAGGTGCCCAGGGCAGCGGTGGGGTCACCACCCTGGAGGGATTTAACAGAGATGTGGATGTGGTGTCTGGGGACGTGGTTTAGTGGTGACCTTGGCAGTGGTGGGTTAATGGTTGGACTTGATGATCTTAAAAGTCTTTTCTACCCTAAATGATTCTGTAGTTCTCTGTTCAAATGCCTTTTTTCTTATCACCACCGAAAAATGCCCTTCAAGCCCATGTACAGTAGCTGCTGGGCAGGTGGGACTCACCAACAAATAATATTTTATTGGCATTTCAAATATCTTCCTTGAACCTTTTTTGATCCTTAAGGCAACACATGAGGCATTACTGACAGGTGAAATCGACAAAATATTCTGTGTTCCTCTAATTATCTTTTTATTCTCTTCTAATTTCAAATTTTTCCCATTCTATGCCACTACCATATAATCCAACATTTTAAGCATATTGTCCCTCATAGTGTCTGCTTAAATTTATTAGCTTGTCTGGTTGTTTTGGCCACAGGAGACATCATGAATTCCATCAGCAATTGCTCTCCTTGGGAGCTGGTCCCAGCCCTGTGCTACCCCAGCAGGAGCAGTGGGTCAGGAGCTGCTTTGGGAATGGCAGGACTCATGTGGCTGCACCTCAGCTGGGCTGGGACTGGAGAAAAGACCACATGGAATATTGGAAGTTAATTTAAACTGCATAGAAATGGGGTAAGAAATGAGATTTAAACCTGATTTTCAGCAATTCAGTCCTGAAGTTGTGGCTGTATGTAAGGGAGCCCATTAGCAGATGATCCAGGCCAAGAAATCAAAGCATGATCTCTAAAATCTGGACTTTCATCCCAAATATGCAGCTGGGTGTTCATGCTCCCCAGGTGTCAGGGAGAATTCTGATCCACAAGGCATCAAGAAAATCAAGAGATATTTGGTTCAAAGCCCTTGAGGAGGGGCCTGACCCTGTCCCACACTTTCTAGCACAAACTCCATGCAGCAGAATCTCTTCTCTTGAGCTCCATCATGGACCTCTGCTGAATTCTGGCAGCACTCGCCCAGGACAGATGGGCTCTGTCTGATAGCTCCAGAACATCACAGAGCTCTCATCTTCTGAAGAAAGCCTTCCCCAGATGGGTCTCATTTCAAGCATGGCCTTCCTCATTTCTTCCCAGAGGACAGCTAATTAAGTGCAGAAGGGACAGCTCTGCTCCTCCCAGGGCAGGCACAAGTGGGTGTTTGATATCAAAACATTTATGGTTTGGTTTGGCTCCAGCACATCAGAGAGGAGAGATGATGAACTCAGTAGAATAAATATCAATAAATGTTTTGAACTCTCCATTTTGTCTGAGTTTACCAGAGCTGGCTAGAAAGAGGTGAATTCTTGAGAAGTACCTTGTTGGAAAAAAATGTCTCTAATTTTACTGCAGTGGCCAATCCAGTTCAATCTGTGTTATCTCTTGTGAGTTCTATTAATAGTCTGCTGCCAAAATTGCAGCTGAGGAGCTCAGAGGAGGTTGAAACCAAGCTCTTCTCTTGCTTTCCAAGCTCTGCCTGCTCCAATCCACTTGTTTCTGGCTGCCATCTCCCAGTCAGTTCTCTGTGATGGGAAACTTTATTCCCATTTCCTCTTGTCCAGCAAAATGTCTCCAAGAGGAGATTCTCCTCCAGGCAGGAATCCCTGGAAACTCTGGATCTTTTCAATCTTTTCACAAACTGATTCCCAGCCTTGTCTCTCTTCTCTTACATGAGCAATAAAATCCCTTCTCTCCTCCCCTTCAGCTGAATTAAAGTGGCCAATTTTTAACCTGCATTTTACAAGTGTGTCTGCATGGTACAAATGAGGAGTTCTGGCTTATCTTCTGTTATGTAAATATATTTTTGTGCTTCCCAAACAAAGTTTTTCTTTCCTTTTGATCTGGCTTTCTTGTAGCCAGTTTAACCTCCAGAAAGAGTCAGAACATTCACAGAGGTTGCCCCCGGCATTAGTCCTGAGGAAAAATGGAGAGAGAAAAGAAAACTCCAAATTACTGCTGAAAACAGCTTGTTTAGAATGGACGCTCACCAAAGGAAAAGGTTGTCTTTCAATGTCCTTTTTAAAGCAAATTTTTGCTTAAAATAGCTGGGACCAATATAAAAATAGCATTTGCTCAGTGTGATATAAGATGAAAGTGGTGCTTTTCCAGGGAGGTGGCTGTGCCCCAGACTTGTGCTGTGGGCAAGATCTCAGAATTACTGGAGTTATTTTTACCTTTCTGTACTTTTTGTGACTGAATTTTTCACTGATTCCTTTGGGCTGCCATGGCAGGGCAGGTGTAGCATTCCTAAAAGAAACTTCTATGGCAACTTCAAACTCCTACAAGAAGAGGCTGATTCCAGTTTCACTGATTTCACAGCATTAATTATTATTAGAGTTATTTCACATATAGAGTTACATTTCCTAATTCTAAAACTAGCACCAAAGCACCAGTACTAGAGGGAAGAAAAAGAGCGCATGCAGTCTGTAGATAAAAATGTTTAATTCCACTTAGATTTGTTATTATACAGAAGATGTAACAGTAAATATTTTGGCAGCATTTTGGGTAGAATGACAGCAGAAGGTCTGGCTGAACTCATGGTTTTCTTCCAGTGGTCAGGACTACCAGAATGGTTTTTATCTGGCGAAAATACATACAGATAAAAAAAATTATAATAATATATATATATAATATATATATAAATACATAAAATTAATATTTTCTATACTATATATAATATATAGTATATATATTATTATATTTAATAAAGATATTGTATATCTATAAATACATAAAAAAATATATAAATATACATATATATGTAGATATATAAATTATACTTATAAATATATAAATATATAAATATATAAATATATAAATATATAAATATATAAATATATAAATATATAAATATATAAATATATAAATATATAAATATATAAATATATAAATATATAAATATAAATAGATATATATAAAATACAAAAAAAATATATATGTATGGAATTTACATAGGGCTTGCATATGTGTTTTCCTGGATGTTTCCCAGGTCTGCTGCTGGTACCTCCTTGAAGAAAAAGTGCCTTTATTGTAAGAACCAGCCAGCTGAAGATGTTATGGAGGTGATGGATGTGAAGGCAGGAGGAAGCCCTGCCCTGGAGGGTCTGCCTGGAGCCTCCTGGTGACACTCTGGAATCGCAGCCAGCAGGAAAACTTGGCAGAGCTTTGCTGTGCCTCAGCCCTGCCCTGCTTCTGCAGGGCTGATTGATCAGCCCAGGGCTGCAGAAATTGGGGTGAGGGATTCATTAGCCTGGGATCAGCCCTCAGCACTGGATACTCTGCTCGCTTGAAAATAGGTAATTAATGGTGCTTTATTTTTCACGTTTCCAAGGCAACACAAACCCCCAAGACATTGTTTTCCAGACCATGAACTGATGCTTTTGGCTGCTGCAGAAGCTGCCCCATCTCGTCTGAAGCTGCTGAAAAGGTACCAAAGCCATATTTTTTGTCATTATAGTCTATTTACATCCTATATCCAAAAAGTAATGATGATCAGATGCTGCTGCTGAAATGATCTGCTCTCACCGCAGAACTCATTCAATCAGCAGCAGAGTGCTCTGCTATTCAAATAGATAATTAGTGTTGTGACAAGGGTGACTGTAAATGCCTCAGTTTGCTGGCAATGTTAGGAAGTGTGACAAAAATTAAATTATTTGTCTGCCTTAAGCATGGCCCTCCTTGGATTGCTAATGAGGGAAATTCTTGTTAAACACATGTCCTGTTCAGACTCCTTTACAGGTGTTGGGAGAATGATTTATTCTTTGTATCAACAGGGGCAGGAAAGACAGGGCTTTTCCCTGTTTTCTGTGACTTTTTTTGTGCTTTTCCTTGGCTCCTGATGGAGCAAATCCCTGTCCCTCCTCTGCAGCTCTGCATCCCGAGGAGTGCAGGATTTGGGAGGATCAGGGCTGAGCAAGGAGCAAGGAGCTGGGCTCCCCCAGAAGTTTCCCTTTCCTGATGGACAATTTTGGCTGTCCCACTGCCCTAGGAGCTGGTTTGAGTTTAAATTGTCACGGGCTGGATGAATGAACATCCTGAAGTTGCATCCTTTCACAGGCTCCTGACGGGATGCTGTTGATTCTTCCTTTTTCAGCCTCTGCCAGTGCCTTGATGTTCTCCCCCCACAAGGGAATTAATGTCTGGGAAGCAATGGAGAGCACAGCACAAAGAGCAGGCATGGTCCAGACCTCACAGGACTAATTATGCTCTTAAAGGGTGAGAAAATAATCTCGTGTACACTGGGAAGAAAGCATCTCAGTAATGCTGCACGGGGTTACAGGCATGTCTCCTATGTTTGGGCATTTGGAAAAATAATTTAAAAAAGAGTTTCAAAGACAGTTTTTGACCTCAAAAAGATCAGTCAGGAGTTCAAGAAAATAAATTTAATTCCAAGTTGAGTTTATCATGTTTTATTGACCCTTAAGGATGGAAAAAGCAAAGGAAGGATGCACATGAAGGTCCTGTGAAATTCTAATATCAAAACACTCTCATGCACAAACTGCGAAGTCTGAAAACAGAGTTCAAACCCACAGCAAGCGAAGAGCAGGGGATGAATTCCAACGAGGGCACTGCAGACACTGCAGCCTGGCAGCTCAGGCTCTGCAGGAGCAACCAAAGTGTCGGAATCTGTGGTATTGATGATTCTGAGATTGTAGAAAGTCTCTGTCTGTCAGCCCCGCTGCCAAAGCAGAAGCCATAATTGGTCTGTGCTGTTTCAAGGTTGTTTATTCTGTTTATCTCTAACATGTTCTGCTGCCCTGCCGCAGCTCTGTCCTGCAGGGCAGCGTGTGGGGCTCTGCCCTCAGTGGGATGGTACAAACATTAAATACCACAAACTACCTGTGCTGGATTTACAATAACGTGCCAATATCTGTCACCTACGTTGGACAGTGTGTCCCCAGCCCAAACCAACAGAAAAATGCCAACACCACAGTGAAACATGGAGGGTGTGAAGGAGGAGAAAAAGGACAAGACACACCCAATTTCCTCCATCTCGTCCCCTTTGGACCCCTCATCTAGAATCCTAAAATTTTACTTTTGCACCTGTGCCACACTTAATTATTAGTTATATCAAACACTCAGAGCTTGTAATTCATCCTGTAAGACTGAAAACTCTTTTCCATGGGCAGAGATCACAGCCAGTGTCTCTGGGGGCTCTGTCCAGGGGGGTTCCTGTTCCTGTTCCCCAGTGATACTGTGAAGGTTTGCTATTGTCGTGAAAGAATTAGGAATAAACTCGCTCCCCAGTGTGCCCAGACCACTTATCAGCCTCGAGCTGCACCAAGGGAAATTTAGGTTGGATATTAGGAAAAGGTTTTTTACAGAAAGGGTGATAAAGTTCTGGAATGTTCTGCCCAGGGAGGTGGTGGGGTCACCACCCCTGGGTGTGTTTAACAAAGCCTGGATGTGGCACTGGGTGCCGGGGGTTGGTTGAGGTGTTGGGGCTCGATGGTCTTGAAGGTCTCTTGAAACCCAATGATTCTGTGAGTTCAGCCTGGAAAATGAGCTCTTCTCCCTCCTGGGCTGCTCCCTCCTCCTCAGAGCCCCGAGCTCTGTGGGATTGTCAGGAAATCCCTTTTCCCAGGGACAAGGCTGCTCCCCAGAGCTGCTGAAGGTGCTGCACATCCCCCAGCCCTGGCAGCTCCAGGTTCCCAGTGCCTCTCTCCATCCATCAGCCCTGACAAAGCAGCAGAAGGTGCACTCAGGTCTGTCTCTGCTAAAAACATCCCTTTTTATTGATTTGCAGGAGTTCACAGCATTAGCATAAAACAATCGAGGCGGCTGTTTCCCCTAAGAGAGCCAGAGCTTGTTTACAAACTCATTTTATTTTCACAATATTCCTCTGTTATTTATTTCAGACAGAGCTGCCAGATGAATGCACTTCCTCATGCTGGACAGCTTGCTTTATTGCCTGTTATTAAGACATAACAGATATAACCTGACAGGCACTGCCCACATCTGCCTGCCACCACTGAAAGGCAAATTAAGTAGAAAATAGAGATCTCCAATATTTCTTTGGCCTGAAGTGATATTAGTTTTTAACTCATTTTGTATTCATAGAGAATCCTGCATGTTTGTAACATATCCCGCAGTGAACTGATCTAAGGAAAAGTTGGGTTTTAAAAAATTCTTACTCCAAGTACCTCTGAGAAATTCAGGCTTTAGAATGCAGCTCTGATGTTGGATGAGGAATTGAAAAGAATGCAATTTTTAAGACTATGACTGAAGCCTACCATTCTTCCTTATGAGATTTCAAATATTAGATGTGACAAAGTGATGCTTATTTTGGGGAAGCCTAAGCCCAATGGAATGGCAGAACCACCTTCCCCACCACCTGCAGTTGTTAAGTAATTGTTTAAGTTGTATAAGTAATTACTTATTGTTGTTATACTTGTTGTATAAGTAATTCTAGTCACATTTTTCATTATTATTATTTTTTTTTTTCACCCCAGGACTGAGTTGCTAATCTGGGATGGTCACAGGAGCTGCAAGATGCAGGATTATCCCTTGCTGCCTCTCCACCTTTTCTTCCTGCACTTACCCAATGCCAGCTTGTTTTTTGTCAACTCACTGGAGAAACAAGACAATTCTATTAATGCAAATTACCCTGAGCTGCATTAACATGACAGGAGGAAGAAAGAGAGCTCAGTTTAAAGGAAGAATAATCTGGACACTGGAGGAGGCAGAGCAAGGCAGGAGTGCCCACCTACAACCATCTGACAGGCTTCTTCTTCTGATTTACTCAAGAAAAATTACTCCACTCTTCGTGTGTAAGCACACACTTGTGATTTGTTGGGACCATTATTAACCCTTATTGCAGTGCCTGGAGCAGCTCCCTATTATGCAGGTAGGATCCACACTTTAAAAACTTAAAATAAATAGTTGTGCTGCACCTGTGTTCCCAAAAAAATGGTTTTAGTGCTGGAAAATCTCAGGTTTTATGGGAAGCTGCAGGGTGTAAGAACAGGCAACTGCAGCACCAAACAGGACCTGCAATTTAATGCTAAATAGTGATACACTGAATAAATTATTATAAAAAATGAACTCTTCCTCAGTATAATTACAGTGGGGTTTTTTTTTCCACTTTAGGGAAGAGGAAACAGCCTGATTGAATAGATGGGAAATGAAGCCAGGGAAATGGAGGTGGATTTTTGCCCATCCTGATGCAAACCCAGGCAGAAGCTTGAGCACAACCAGTTTTAGATGTATTAAACCCCCAACGTGTGCAAACATGTAACAGAAACAAGCAATAACACTTTGAGATTTTCTATTATCCCTCAATGTAATAAATATTTTATTACAGCAATAGAAAAGAATGCATACAGATAACCATAGGATACACACACAACTGGAAGTTCAAGGATAAATTTCAACCTTTTCAATATGAAACAAGGTACTGGGTACATATCTCATGGAGATATAGAACTAGAAATCAAGTAATAATACAATGTAAGCGCATGAAAAATGGGCAGTACAGGAACCTGGACTAGAATTTTGTGAAACAAGAGAAAGAGTCACCCTTTGTTGCATGAAATATAACTATTTACTCACTAGGAACACCTGGATTTCCATGTCCCACCCACCCCCCTGTTTGCAAGTGTCTGAAAACAACACTGGTCAGCCACATGGAAAAGCAACTAATTTTTAATTCATTTATAGCTCTCTATGTACAGTATATACAGCTCCTGCTTTCCTCAGCAGCACTTTGTCTCATCTGCCAGCTGAATGCATATCAAGGTATTTTTTTTCTACAGTGCTACCATAATTTCATGAATCCTGGTTCTCCCTTTGTAGCTGTGTGTGTTGTAAAAGTATTGTGAAATTAAAAAAAAAAAACAAAACCCAGTCTTTGAGAGGAGATGCTTTATGTCATGTGAACACGTGCTGAACAGGGATGCTGTGACCTCTCTAAAAGGTGTCTAAAAGGCTGATGCGACTGAAGCCACAACTCTAAAAGTCAAATGGACCAGGATTAATTTATCTTTAATTTACTGCCATGAAATAAAGCACAGATTTCTCTTCAACAGCAAGCCTGAAGTGTTGATGTACCAATTTTTTTATATCCTATGAACTTTCAAGATTGATGTGACAGCAGCGGGGTGCAGCTGGGAGCCAGAGCAGGTGGGAAAATTCAGAAGTGGCTCCAGAGCAGCAGAAGGAGAGGTCTGCCTGCAGGTCTGAATTCAGGGTGTGTGCAGTGCAGCGGGGCAGGGAAATGAGCAGGAGGATTTGGGGCTGCAGCTCTGGGAGGGAGGGAGGGAGGGAGGGAGGGGGTGGCTGTCCCTCTTCCTAAGGCCATGGTGCCCCTGCAGCTGCCCAGGAGGACACGAAATCACCCTCGAGGTGGCAGAGCTTGGTTTTGAAAGAAGCACCTGGTTCGGGAGTGAGGTGGGGAGATGAGCACATGGAATTCAGGATTTACTGGTGAAGGTTGGGTGTTTGAGAAGGTGAACAAAAACATCCTCAAGTCACAGCTGGGAGATCATTTCCCAGGAGCAGCAGCCTTTGCCCTGCTCCAGATGGGATTTCTTTGGAGATTTCTTTTGGGATTTTTTTTTTCCATTTAGAGTGATTCCCACAAAGGGCAGCAGGAAAATGATCCAAACTGCTGGGTGATGGGAGCAGCCACGGGGTGGTCGTGTTACACTCCAGCTGATAACAGCCACAGCTCTGAGTTCATCTCTTCCATGTCAAATGTTATTTTAGCAATGCAGAACAGACCCAGAACAATTCAGGGCTGCTGCAAAAATGGGATTTCTCACTCTCCCTCACAGCTCTAACCTCACAGTGCCATCCCTCCCCCTCTATCTTAGACTGTATCTGAAGTATGCAACATGTAAACTCCTTTGGTTCAAGTATTAAGGCATTTTAGATTCCTTTTTAAAGGATTTGCTAAACTTTACATGGTATTTTTACTTCAACTTACAGTGAAATATAAAGAATTTAAAAACACGTCAGGATAGAAGAAAAAAACATGCATTAACCACTGCAGTTTTTTTTAAAAAATGCACTTTAGTAACCAATTTTCTTTTTCCCAGCAAATGCAAATATATCAGCACAACACAGAATTAAGGGTCAAGGAAAATATTGTTGCTAAGAAGCTGGAGAGACTGAAGATACTCAAGACTGATGGGCCAGAACCTCTTGCATCCATACCTGTGACAAAGGAAAAAAATGAATTCAGGATTAAATGAAAGCATAAGTACATGCTGTGCCACATTATTACTCTTCCTAGATGCTAAGCAAAAATTACTGTAAATTTTTTCTTAGAAGTAGTAGAGATGTATAAAAATAGAGTAAATGTTTAAAAATTACAGATGCTGTGATCATGAATGGTTTTAGTGCTCTGGTGGTGTTTGGTCAAAGGTTGGACTTGATGATCTTGGAGATCTTTTCCAACCTTAATGATTCTGTGCATCCACTTTCAAGGAAATAGTTTTTATTTTGTTTAAAAAAGGAGAAAGTGTAAAAAAAGGAACACTTTTAACACCAATCTCCATGGCAATTTACCAGTTCAGCAGAATGGAGTTTGCCATGCATAAGGGCACAAAGACTTAAATTGCTTTCCTTTTTATTACCTTATTGCCACACAATGTCTAAGCATTAATTTTAAGTATTTTCCCCCCATCAACAAAGGAAGCAAAGACAAGCTGGGACAAAATGAAGTGGTTCAACCTACTGGCAAGTCTGGGGATGAGGATCTGCTCGCTGCTGCTGCCATCTCCCCCCTCCGTGGTGGCTCTGACCTCGATGAAATAATCGTCCTTGAGCTGCAGCCACAGCTCGGCCGTGGTCGTGGCCGTGGTCAGCTCCTCCACCCTGCCCTGGCTGCTGGTCCTGTACAGAACCTGCAACACAGCACACCCTCAGCCCCTGCCCTGCCCCCAGCAAACAAGCTTTCAGCTTTTGGAAGCCATGGGATGAAAGAAAAGAGCTGATTTTTGGTTAATATTCCAGGGCGGAATTGTATTTAGGGGAAGAAGGGAACATCAATCAAGTGTTCTCTTTTGAACATTGATTCAAAATGTTCAAAGATTTGAACATTTTGAGATGTTCAAAACTATTTTTCGGAATTTTTTTTGCTCTAAAAAATTTTTTTTCATTCATTTTAAAACATATTTTCACCTTTTATTCCAGACTTGATTTAAAAGGGCACAACAGATGCCAATACATATTATGTATTATTTTTTTACAATATGAAATAATGGGTGGTGGGACACTGGAACAAGCTGTAAACATGTACTTCTTGCCAATAAAACTCGGTGAGTGATGAGATCTTCAGCCTAAATCTTTTATTCAGGAATATATCATGTGGGATCCAGCTGTACAGAGCTTAGCAGGAGCATCCTCAGCTCTTCTTTTGCACACACTTTGCATGACATTTTAAAGCACTTCTACATTTGTGTGTTGATCAGATTTAGAGCAGGTGCCACTGGGTAATTTCTGTCAGGGACCTGAGCATGGTCCACAGCAGGTAAGAGGAGAAAGGTTTAAAAATATCAGTTTAATATATGTGATAATATATAATAAATGTAATAAATACACCTGGCTGGCAATGGAAGCTACATTCATCAGTCTAAATGTTTTTTGTTTCTTTCAAAGTTTTAGCCATTTGGGTATGTGTTACACATTTAAAGTAAGAGTTATGGATGTGGTAAGTGTTTAAATGTTCTCAGATCCAAGCGTGGGTGGGATCCCACGAGCTGAGCAATGCCAGCACGGGCAGGAAAAGGGATTAGGGTACATTAGGGGTGAGACACTTTCAGACTACCATTTAAAATCCCTAAAAAGGAGACCCCAGTGAAATCTTTTAGGGGTGGGATTGTGCAAGCAAACAGACAAGTGTTGGAATCCTGGATGCTGAGAATTTGAAACTTTCTGTGCTTACAGGCACAGACCTACAAGAGAACACTGCATTTGACCTGAGGTCGTGGAACAGTCTTTTAAAATTGATTAATAGCACTCTAATAGGTATTACGGGTGTGGAGTTGGTTAGAAGTCTGTAATATCACAGGGTGGAAAACTTAAGAGTTTGGGGTTTTAGAATATAGAAATCAATATGAAGCAAGATGGAGGTTTTAGGGTGGAGGCAGGTTGTTCTTCTTCACCTTCTTCTTCCTTCTTCTCCATGGGTTTGGGTGATGTTTTGTGACTGGACAGAAAAATCCACAGTGCAGGCTTCAAAGGGATTGATTATTGGGTTAAAAGGGAAAGTAATCTAGGTGTTCTTTCTTAACTGGATAGTTTAGTTTTAAAAGACCCTGTAACAAGAGTTAGTTAGCCATTCTGTGCCTTGCTGATGAAAAAGCTGCTGAACTCACGGCAGTGAGGCTGTAACATAGATAAGGAATAAGAAACACCCGAGTCCAAACATGAAATACTGTCTGAAATGGCTTCAGTCCCAACCTCGAGCAATGGACAGACAAGGAAATGCCAGCTCTGGGCTGTTCCCAGCTCTGTCCCCACTGACCTTGTAGCCCGTGACCTCGGACTCGTTGTCCATGGCTCTGACCTCCTCCCAGCTCAGCACAACCCTGGAGTCGGTGACATTCCACACCACGTTCCCTGGAGGTTGGCTGGGGGCTTCAAACACACGACAAAAGCAGGACTTTAATTTAATTGGCATTGGTGACCGATTCAGCAGCTCAGGAATTTGGCTGGCACTGCACTTGGGATGCAAAACCAACCCCAGTGCAGGCTCCTCTCTGTGCACGTTATGGTTCAGAGGCTAAATTCAAAAAACAAGGAAGGAAAAAGCCAGAATGGCACACAAATGTTCTTTCTGAAGTTGAAATATCTGTTACTGGTCCTTCATTCAATACAGCCAGACAGAAGCATGTGCCTTAGGACATGGGTGATTAATCACAAATTATTTTGTACAAACTATTTTATTATGAACTCCAAATGGGTGATTAAAAACAAAATCTAATGATGGTAACAAGTAATTTCTAGGTTTAGTGCAGTGCCAAGATTAAGAAAATTCTTCACAATAGACTTTTAGACAAATTTAGTCTCAGTGATTATTCAAATTTACCCACTATGTTGCTTTACTTTAAGAAGTTTGTTATGGAAAATATTTGCAGGTTTTTTTTGTCTGTTGGCTCTTCCAACTCGAGTTGTGGTTCTGAAGTGAGCCTGTGCCAAAAGTGGGCTTTGGGCACAGAAATCTGCAGGGATTTCTGGTTCATTAGCAACCCAAGCCCATTATTTGCAAAGCAGCTGCATGCTCTGGGCTCTGCCCTTTCGTGCACCTTAGAGCTGCCAAACCTCCTCAAATACCTCAGGTTGGTTTCCCAGAAAATGGGTCCTGCAGTGACACAAATCAATGATTAAAATCTTTTCTAAATGTGTTAAGAAAAACAATTTACTGCTGCTGTCACCTAGTGGAGGCAACTGCTGCTTAGGTGGACTGAGCTGTGCTTTGAGACTAGGTTCCAGTTTTAAGCACTCAGAGTGGTTTTGAACACTCATATCCATGTGCTTATGGGTTTTTAACTATTCCCCCCCCCTCCTCTTTTCAATTCTCTCACACAGGAAGTTCCCTGTCTTCTTTCCATAAGCACTCAGATTAAAACCCACCTGATTATACTCAAAAAACAGAAAAAAAAACACCTGACACAAAAAAAAATTATTTCAAAGTCAACCAACCACCCACAGCTATTTTTTTCACTCTTTGTCATGTTCTGTGTACTGAGGAAGATTTAACCTGATGTTCTAATAATAACCACTTATTGTAAATGTAAGAGGAGATTGTTTCACTCCTGAGAATGAAGTGTTACAGCATGTTGAATGGTTTTCACACTGAGATATTACATCTGAATTTCAAAGGAAATGAGTCATCCCTGAAATCCACAACAAAATATTAAGATGACAAGTGGAAAAAAAAAAAAATGAAGAGTAATTATCTATAAAAACAGACACCAAAATCTCCAGCAATCATTGGCGCTCAGAACTTCATTTGTGGCAGGTCCTGATCCATCAAGTCACGTCAGGACATGTCCAAGGAGCTGCAGGGATTTCTGAGCTGCTCAGGAGCTGAAAGCTGCTCCCAGGCAGGAACATCTCCCAGAATTAGGAGCTGATGGACAGAACATTGGGTTTTATTTTAAGACTTTCAAAATATGAAATAATTGTTACAACTTAGGCAAGTCTTCCCCACCCACTTGGCATTTTACATGCCAAGTACAAACCTCCACTTGTTATTCTGGGCTGTAAATATGCGTATTTCAAATTTTAAAGCAAAGGTATTTTAATTTTCAAAGGCTCACTTTCAATTTTGAAATCCACCGCCAGTAGAACTGAACTATTTGTGTTTGATATGGGAAAGAGTTTCTGAGATGTACCTGGCAGGTCCTGTGGGAGAATGCAAACCCTTCACAGTGAAAACCACACCGATCACAAATATTCAAATTAAATTACAAACTGGGATTGATTAAAAATTACACATTTGAATGAAAAATCACTTTTTTTTTTTTTTTACTGCAGTAGCACGGAGAAATATTTCTCTCAGCAATTCAACTAATTTATCAAAATCTTCACACTGACATTACATGCTTTTGCTCTCCTTACCAGAAAGATCCATGGACATAATACCATTAATTTTCCTTTTTAATTATTCCAAACAGCAGCATCTTGCCCAAGGGCCTGATCCAGCTCCTGCTCACACCACTGGGATCAGGGGCTTGTCCAGCTCTCAGTCACACATCCCAAAAACAGGTGGACACTAAAAAAGGACTGAAAATCCCTGAGCTGACCAGCCTGGCACCACCTCCAGTGAGCAGCCACAAAGATGATTAATTAGAAAAAAATTCCTTTTCCCATGTCCTGTGCAGGCTGCAGGCAGTGAGTCACTTCAGATCAGCCAGTTCATGGTAATTGTGCACATAATATATTAAAACTCTGGCAAATCTGAGTTGGTTTAGTCCTCAGTGACAGACTGACACTCATTTTTGCATAGAATAATTTCTGATAAACTAGCTTATTTCATAATATTAATGCTACAGCTCTGTCTGCTCGGGGGATGTTAATGAATATTGCAGGGAATTTGACCCTTCAGACAGATTTAATTGTATGTTCTTGTGCCTCTGACAGAAACACTTCGAGACTGATGACCCTGATTCCGAGCTGTATTACCACGGAGGAGCACACTAAAAATATTTCCACTTGTAGAAAAATTAGTGCAGCCTTTGACACTCTGTTCTCCAGCTTAATTTTGCAGTAGCAGCAGCAGAGTGGCCTCTTGTGCAATTTGTTCAAGGGGAAACAGTGGACATGAAGGATTGTTTTGCATGGACTCCATGAGGTTCATTGCATTTCAAAACCCATGCCCTAGAGAACTTATAAATATGTTATAGAAAGCTGAAAAATTCAACAAGTCTCTTTTTTACCCCCTTCTAAATAACAGAGATTTTTCTTTTCAATCTCTTCCAGTCATTAGCAGCATAACAAAGGTTCAGTGCAGAAATTACAGATCTTGGCCTCCCCTGGCATGGCTGGGTTTTATCCACCCTGCTGAAGAAGAATGTGGAAGCTCTGTGCTTGGTGGAAATTCAGGTCACTCAGGCTGTGATTCCCAGGAATTCCACTGCTTTTTTTACCCTCTAAATGCTTAAAAGGCAAGATGTATTCCATTTGCCATCTGTAGGGCAGTTATCTTGTGTTAATTAGGCAGTTTTTCCTTACCTC